TGCACTTTTATCTAAATGGGCAATCAAAAGACAGCGACCAAAACCGGCGCACGAAAGTGCATAGTTAATGGTTGTAAAAACTGAAACTTTAAACGTAATACCCCCAAGAAGTTATTTCGCTTCACCCAGAAGTGGGGCTGGGTATGGTGTCATAACCTATGGAACGGGAGTAAGGGTTGATTTTCAGGTGAATGTGCATTTGAATGCCGGATGCTTAATTGTTATGAAAATTGCTTGCCAGAATTTTTGTTTAAATTAGTTCTGATATTAGGTCAAAAACAGTGCCAGTTGGTGTTTTTGGAAGTTCTCAATGGCTGCTGTTCAGTCGTGGGTAGGTTACCCAATAGTCCCAATAACAGGATGCTTCTCAGTGGCTTGTGGTTCCCCCCTCCCTTCCTCTGTCCCCTTCCTAGCGCGGTCGGTGAGCACGCACTGCTGATGACATCCAAGTGGATTGCGTGGATTGCGTTGCTTTTCAGTTCTTCAACTCAGAAGACCCCCATTCAGTACACTAGGTGTTTCTTTCCTTATTGCTATTCCTTTCGTGTATCCGATACTCTGTCGTGGCATGATCAAATTTGTAAATCCCCTTCCTTGAGTTTTTTCTCTCTGTTGTGTCGCATCACGAGATAGGAATCGAAACCACAATTTTCGAGTGCCTCATCAATGGGTAAATGTTTACCTTTGTTGAAAGCACTCCTCTCTTGCTAAACACCGATGGCCGTGATGTATGTGGCATTGGAGGCATGAAAAGAAACCCTAAAAACAAACGGTAATGTAACACTGTGCTTTTTCTATCTCCAGAATCATGTTATCACTTGTCTGGAGGTGTACAATGATTGGGCCATCACCGGTTCGGATGATGCGAGTATCTGTGTATGGAATTTGGCCACGCACCAATTGCTCATAAGCCTCTTTGGTCATCTCGGTGGGGTTTGGTCTTTGGTTGTCCTACCTCCACTGCATGGATCCACGTCGGATGAATCAGACCACATGCTTAACCAAATGCCTCTGTTGGTTTCCGGCAGTTGTGATCGTTCCGCTCGCGTTTGGCTTTTGGATGGCACTCATTGGCCCTGTATTACCACACTGTACGGACACCAGTCTACCGTTCGTTGTGTTGCTGGTCAAGGCAGTGAAATTATGAACTCGGAGAGTTGGAAACAGCCGGATTCGGGACAAATGGATCCAGTCCATCGGGACATTTCGGCCGACGCCGAATCGGATCTGGAAGGCATTCGCCTCGTAGTAACCGGGAGTCGTGACACAACGTTACGCCTGTGGAATGCTCGAACCGGATGTTGTCTTCGAGTTTTTCAAGGTACTGTGTACTGACCACTTATCACAGTCCATGCCTATGGGCAGATAAAATAGCAGTGCTCCTATTGATACATACGTAAATATAGTGGTTCTATTTATAGACGCATTTTCGTAACTAGCGTTTTTCTTTTTGATCATCTTATCTGTGAAACGCTATGATTTAAATTAAGCGTGATCCTACACCCGCATTCCTAAAGTGCATTCAATTCTGCCGAAAAATGATGTGTTTGATTAGGTATCCTAATGGTCACCGTGAAACTATTTCGGATTGGACTGGTGCAGTAACCTTTCCCCGTTCCAATTTTTTCCCGTGTTTTCTTGTTTCTTTTTTTTCGCTTGACACAAATCTCCAGGTCATTTGGGTGCCATACGATGTGTGCAATTTGTCGGCAATGTGGTCGTCTCGGGTAGCTACGATTTCACCATTCGATTATGGTGTATTCGTACGGGACAGTGTCTACGTGTGCTACACGGACACCGGAATCGAGTGTATACGCTCCTGTTTGACGGTCGTCACATCATCAGTGCCAGTCTGGACACGACTATTCGCGTGTGGGACGGACTGAGTGGTCAACTGGAGCACACATTTTGCGGTCACCAGTCCCTGNGTCCCTGACCAGTGAGATGGCCTATGCGGCCGCGCAGCATACTCTCGTGTCAAGCAATGCGGACGAGACTATCCGTGTGTGGGATGTCGCGAGCGGTGAATGTGTGCATGTTTTGGCTGGTAAGCATCGTTATAGCCCCCCCTTCATCTGTCTCGGCTACGTGATTGATCCGGCCAACCGTTTGAGGTACCCCTCGCTTTGTTTTTGAATATCGGGCATTTGTGTCGGGACCGCCTGGTCCTGTGCTTGTTTTTCATTGCATCCGACTTCCTCCACTGCATTGGCATGCTTATTTCCTTCAAGCAAATGAAATAACTATTGCGGAGGAGTATTATCTGGATCACGTTTCAGTTTCAGTTTGAACAACTTTTAGAACCATGCACTTTCTTGCGCCAATTTTGGATCACGTCAAGTCCAGAATCGCTTTATTCATCCTAATAGATGGATTCTCAGCTCCCTTACACACACCAGGATCATTCATCATCGCATACAGTCTCAGAGAAAACATAGCATCGGTAATTCAAGAGAGGAATGTGGCGTAGACGTTTGAAAATGGATCTCATTCATGTAGGGATTTCAAAAGGTTTTCTCTAACAGATGTTTTTTGTGCCACAAATCTCGAAAGATATGGAATAACGGATAAACAATAGGCAGTGATACATGTTTATAACGATACCTAGTTACAGAAGTGGATACACATTGATTAAGTTCTGTGTATAATGGACGAGTAATGTCTGCTAGAATATTGTCGCAGAAGTTTCCGCAAGAGGTAAAATGTTTTCCCCTCGATAAACTTAAGCAAATGCAAATAGGGAATACCGCTTGTGCGCGAAATAATTTCAAGAAACTGGCGTAGACTTGTGTAAGCTTTAACTTCAAAACCGACAAATAAACATGGGCAGCAGTCAAGGCTATTGAGTATAAGGATAGTTTGGGGAATACGGAAAGTCAATATGCGTTCATTATCACCACAGTCACTCTGAGAATTCCCACCGAGAAGCTCCACATGACCTGTGCAAAGCAGTTCGCCAATGGAAATTTTCATTAATCCTTACCACTTCCTCATCCGGTCACTTTTCTACCTTTTTCCAAACTGCTTGCACCGTGAAAAAAAATTGGAGGACAATAAACTCCGCCCAAAGCATTTGCGCAATACAATAATAATAATAATAATAATAATAAATAGTGATTGCCTGAATAGTCCCACTGAGCATAGTTCAGACCAAACAGAATGAATGAACAAGCTCGTTTTCAGTGATTCGTAATCATACCAAAACATTATGATACATATCACTAATTAAGACTACAATTGTCCTAAAGAAACAATCCACAGTACCGGACTTGATTCCAAATAATCAGATGGTTTTTTGTTCACCAATACGATCAGAATAATTTTCACTTCAAGTTTGACGATAAGATCTATTGACAGACAGACAGATGGCGTGGCCATTGCGTTACCACTGGGTCTGCTTTTCGCGGACCTGTTCATGACGAAACTGGTCAAGACTTGACTAAAATTATCCATGAAAGATTATGTACTATACACACGGTACGAGGATGATAGTTTTTGTGTGGTAAATGCATCATCAAACTTAGCTGAGCTATAAAGCGGGTTCAACACTACCCATCGAAACATGGCATTTAATTTAGAAATGGAATGTATCAACTAGTTGCCGTTTCTGGCTGTCTGTATCACTTACTTGTCAGCGTACACCCTGAGAAATATATATATA